CTGAGCACACTCCCATCCACCAAAATCGCCATTTCAGCTGAGACTTGTCACGAAAACCGAGCTTCCATGCCACACCCTGAAACGCAAATCCCAATGGCACGGCCACATCCAACACCCCAAAAACACGACTCTCCAAACGCTAATCCCAATGGAACTGCGCAGCAATCTGCGGATCTCACAAAACGCTGCGCCTGTGCAGCGAAATGCATCACGTTTCTTGCGCGACATGTCTTTGTCATGCAAATCACAATGGAATAGCGGCGCAAACTGACACGTGACACATCCATGCAAGTCACCTTCAAAAGCTTCCCCCAATGGCAGTGAATTTGAGACGCGACGACGACGAGAGACGACGACAGACGACGACGAGACGACGCAAGCCAAGCAAACACAGCTCCAACCCCCAGACCCCCAACTATAAACGGGAACCCTTCGCTACGCATTCGGGAAAAAAGAAACAAACCGGACGACCCAATAACCATGCACCAAAAAGCACTCCCGCACACTCGCGGACAGACGTCGGCCAAAGCGTTCAGCAGGCGTCGGCCGAAACGAAGAAACATGCCCTGGGCGCTTCCAATCGATGAGGATTCTCTGGGATTCGACCTCGAAGACGGGGACACCGCGGGGAGACACCGCAGGTTGGGGCCTTTGAGGCTGGGTCTCTGCTGATCAAAGACCCGGCTCGCCTAAGGGAGAAAGCCCTCTCAAGTGGGAAGAGATGGGGATTCGTCCAGACTGGAGGATCAATCTTGCGAGAGCCTATCCGGGTTGAACATATTAGAGTGCAGGGTGCCTGCGTTTGACTGAAAAATGACTGACTAAATGTAGAGACCTAAAGCTTACAATCGAAGAAATCCCTGTTCAAACGTCCAAGAGCCCTCCTCCAACACTCAGATAGGTTGAAGCGCTCCCAAAGAATACCCTTCCCTGAAGTTCCAGGCACTCCCAGTAAACCATGACCTGCTTTTCCGTGGCCCCAACGTTTCCAAGTTGGAACTACTTCCTCCAAGGGTGACAAGCTACGTGGGAGCTCCTTCCAGAGAGGGGCCTCCTACAGCCCTGCCAGCGACCCATCAGGCGCTTCTCCAGCGCAAGGGACCCATCAGCTCATGTCGCAGTTGAGGGTCATCCGCCTCCTCCGACCGACGTCACCCCGTCGCCGACGTGGCGACAGGAGCGACCCGTGGTCCGAAGAGAGGAGCGAGCCGTGGTTCGTCCCGAGGGTTTGAAGGTCCCTATAGGGGTGACTCCTACTTAGGCCCATAGCACCTCCCAATGCTTCAAGAACTCATCCCAGGACATGAGATGGTTGACACGCATGTTCCTTCGATCTGAGAAAGAAGGACTGGTGCCTCTTATCAAGTTCATAGTTGTCTTCCTTTTCTTCTCTGTTTTCACACCGGGACAGACTGATTGGGGACTTGCAGTTGATGCTGGTCCGGGTATTGTCAGCAGGTGTATCTGGATATAGAGGAAACATCCAATTCATGGAATTTGTGGAAATGGCACGATTTGTGAAATCATACTCAGTATGGATGCAGTGGGTCATGCAGCACAGTGCAACACGATCCAAAAGTTCCGAAAAGCTCGACTTGTTCGGGTCATCCACCGTATTACGGGAGTTCTGATGACATGGACATGGACCCATTCTGACAGCTCAAAAAAAGGTAAAAAGTGTGCCACCTCGACAACTTGTGGGGGGTCTGCGTCACCTATAGATCAGCCAATTGAAAACAAATTTGGCCGTCTTGAAGCCACCTGTTGGGGTCTGCATCTCTTCGTTCGGTGAAACCACCAGTCCATGCCCTACCTAACACACCCACAGTTCGACCACCCACCGAGTTCATGTGCGTCCATTCTTGCCCCCTGAGTTCGAGATCTTCGGAATCACAGAGAAAAGAACAAGAAAAACGGCTTGTCAACCCTCAAAATCCCACTCCACATCACTCCAATCCATGGCTGGAAAACATGTGTGGCGCCAGAAGGCCCACCATGTGAGGCTGACCTCCCGGTGTCCACCGGGGTGCATGAACCACTCGCCTCTGGCAGATGTCCATGTCGGCCGCACATCGGGTGGGTGACCTGGACCGTCTGAGGTCTGACGGGGGGCGATGTCGGTCTGACGGGTGAAGCACATGGACGCAGCAAGCAGACATGAAGAAACTATTGGTATCTATTGGTTAAAATTAACTTATATATATATATAGAGAGAGATTGAGTCGCCTTCCGAGTCGCCTTCCAAATCCAGCTTTGGTCGTTGCCCATGGTCGTTGCTGAAGAACAAGGTTCCAAGAAATGACACGGAACTGTTGCTGAGAGTTGCCCCGAGTGTCCCATCTTCATCTCGATGCGTCCCATCCAGGGGTCTTCGGCACGGTTACTTGGGTTCTTCGGCACGGTTACATGGCAGGCTCCAAGGACATGAGATCCATTTCTGTTGTTCATACATTTTCTGAAAAGTCCCCTGCCTTCGGAGCGACGTAATCTTTTGGTGAAAAATCCAGGTGCCAGGTGATCTGAACTGGCAGAAAACACGTTTGTACATCTTTGTACTAGTTGGAACTAATTAGCTGGTCTAAAGGAGGCTAATTGGTGTCAAGAGTCAGAACAAACCATGTGAGAAAATTAGCGAGATTTGTCCCGAAAACCAGACGGACCTGGGACACCATCAAAATCCAGAGTATTAATAAGAGGGTGGCTTGGTGCACCCCGTTCGTCTGAATCTCCGGCTGGAGGATCAACATCGTCACCCACCGGCACCAGGCCGCCGAACCAGCACGGTGTTGGTATCTTTGAAGATCTGCGCCGCCGTGAAAAGACACGCCCGCCGCCCACACTTCGGACACCAGTCACAGATCCGGAGATGAGATCGAATCAAGGTGTGAAGATGAGTGAAATTCTGGGGTGACCTATCGAAATTGGGGTGACCTATCTATCTGTTGAAACGAATTCTGGAATTCGATACAGTAGGTTATTCTGGGGTGACCTATCCTCAGTGCCTTCCATTTGAAAGACCTGGGGAGGACGCATGGACCACCCAAAAAACCACCGGATTATATTCGAAACCAATTGGATTCGTCCTTCCCGCGATTCGCTGAACCCAGTCGACCATCTTTGATGATGGTGAAGATGGTGAAGTAATACCCACCATGATGGCATGCGATTTCGTGCCAGGTGTTGGTTTGCTCTTGACGGGTGGTTTGCTCCAGTCATGGATTGTCATTTCCCGTTCCTGGTGCAGCCCTGAATCGCAGGTTTCTCCAGTCAAGGGAACCTGATGCCTCAAAATCTACAAAATATATACCTAATAAGCTATGAGTATGACTATGACTTTCGGAGATTGGGCTTAGAAACCAAAGCACCGACATCAGGAGTCAAACACCTGATGTTGAAAGCAAAACGTGGCTAACCCACGTGGGGGTACTTTGGAGGTGGGTTCAACCCCCATGACCAAAACAAGAGAACACTTCATCCGCTACAACCCACCAGAATCCGACCATCTACACTCCGCACCTCTGGCCAAGTCACCTCCTGCAAGCCACGATTGGTCTCAAGGTCTCTTAAAACAAATCGGTTCATCACATTCTCAAAGCCCTGGAGTTTTCAATGAATTGTTCGTCCAAGTCTTTCGGGTGCTGGAAAAACGTGTCCAACAACTCTCTATGTACCCAGATCCAAAGGCGATCTTCCTCTGTTTCCACCATCTGCAGTGGTCAGGATGTGAAACACACACGGTGTCCTCCAAGGATGCGTTGTCCACGCCTGCCGCAGCTTGCTTTGTCTCAAAGAGGAAGACAGTTGCAGCGAATTGGATTTGGGCCATCAAACCAACTCCAACTATCTCCAACTCAAACCCCTTCATGATCGAACGGGCTTTAAGGGCAACACTGAGTGCAACACGGAGTGTTTTGAGGGCAGCTCCCGGCGTTTTCCTCGCCAAATTCTCCAACCCCCCGCATGAGATCCCCCCGTTTCACGATCGTTCTTGATGTTCTTGTGAAGGGGCCAAAACCAAAACGATCCTGCCTTGGTCACTTCACGTCGCCTTAGTCCCTCCGTGGAGTCCCTTGAGTGAGTGGTTCACGCTTGGCAGATCACCCGTGACGTGCCGAACGCCCACGGCCGTGGCGGCGAACGGCCCCGTGAACCCCCACGGCCACGGCGGCCACGAGTGAAGCAACCAGTGAAGCGATCTAGAAAGAAGGAACTTGGCACATTCCTTGAACATATAACATAACTTGACATACGTAATCACTATGACATATGACTGTAATTCGGAACATATGACATATGTAATTTGACATAATTTGACATAATTTATTACATGCATGTAGTTTGATGTAACTTGACATGTGACCTATTTACTTCACCGAACTCGGACCTTTGGCCACAGTCGGTTTCTACAAGCCACATCAACCCACTCTGACCCCAAGCACTCCATTACACCACCGGCATCCAGCTGCAACCATTTTCAGCAACTCACTGACTTTTCGCACTGTAGAGTCGGGATGAAGCAGCTTGCAGCTTTGCACCGCAGAGTTGGGATGTGTTTTGTTCATGAAAAAGGATCCCATTCGTCATCCCATCCTCATCCCACCACAAAACCTCAGTTCGGCTGAGCTCGCGAGACTCTCATCCTCCCGCCTTCCGGTGCTAAGAAGAACTCGGCGACAAAGTTCCACTCCTGGGAGCGGAGAATCGCTGGGTGTCCAGTCTGAGATCATCCACTTTCGTGCGATTCCGATGGACGAGGTGCGCGAAGAAACACGTGGTGTCCAAGCATGTAGACTCTTGATGTATGAAAACCATTGAACACCGCCAACCGGTCCGATCGAAACCTTTGAAGAGGAGAAAAGAGGCGCACCCTTGCACCTTGGAATTCCGCAGAAAGCACTTCAATATGGGGAACCCGGTCATATCGTTGACATCTCTCCATCGGACCGTGTCCCGTGTCCCGAGCGAGCCAAACCGATGGCTGCGCTCGTTCCGCATGGGACCGACCCTGCGCGCATCACATGGGATCGACCCGGAAGGTTCAGAACAAAGCACCACAACCCGATCTGAACCTTCCGGGGTCTAGACATGGAAGGTTTCCCGATATAAACCCGGAAAGGTGTTCCCTCTTAAAATACAAACCCGATCTCAAATCCATATTCCCAAAGGCCATGAAAGCAATGGCAATGCCGCTCCGAGGGGTGGAATGTATGGAGCGACTTACGCAGAAATGCATGGATGGGTAACTCCACGCCACTCCGTTCCCCAACGCGAAGTAAGGCAAAAATAAATAGAATATTCTTATCAATTCTTACCCACCCCTAAAGCAGCTCTATGGGAAGATCAACCCCCATAAATGCAGCCACCATCAGTGTCATGGTGCTTCCAGCCCACCTCCGTTAGCCCAGACCCCGGCGCTCCTTCCCCAGACCCCGCGCGGCCGCGAAGTCGAAGAGCAAGGGGATCTCCGCCTGGAGTTCGGACGGAGCTCCACGGCTGGGGCGGTTCCGGCTCCGGAGCGAGCCATATGGGGGAAGACGGGTTTCATGGAGATGGGAGGTGAAACCCCAACGAACATATCAAGAACAGCTCCGAAACGCCACTCAACCCACTCCAAAGCTCCGAAAGTGGACACATGGACGGGTCTTGGGGTCTTGCTTCTCTTGACATACAGCCCAAGGGCAAATTTGCGTGTTCATGAAACATATTGACGTTCTTGGTGAGTAGCCAAACAGGTTTGAGGTTCATGAGGCCACGTCCATGCCAAATTAACTTGACCCTAGAGAACCAGTGGGTCAAAAAACTGCCGGTCATTCTCTTCTGTAATGGAGCCTCTTGGTTCATAAGCCACCCATACGAAGGGATCTTAATTACCATCCAAATACATTAATCAAGTGCCTACCTTATCGTATGATCCACAGAACCAATCTGCTGCACTAAAACAACGGACATTCAAGTCGCTCGTCGCTTGTTCTTCATCGGTTCCGTTCATGTCGACGGCTCCGATGCAACGGCTCTCTGATCTTCCGGACAAAGCCAGCGACCCCGCATCGGCCACATCGAAGACGTCGGGCGCCGTCGCGGGTTTGAAGCCCGGTGGGACAAGGGTCTGATGGCGGTCGGATGACGTTTCAGATACGTCTGTCGTCACATGGGGGGTCATCTGCCTTCATTGATGTAGAATCTGATTTAAGCCCCCTCTTCATACGGGTGGATAATTTCTCAAGATTCTACACAACCTTCACTGTTGGTGAGTCCGAAGACCACCTTGATTCGCCCGTCCGACGCAGCCGTCGGCCTCGGACATAGGCCAGCCATGCTTGTGCCTCACTTCCGGCATGTTCCGACAAAGGGAAAAGGCGGTCTCGTTGATGCAGGGCACGTTTCTGTCAATTTGGCTCTGGTGTTGGATCTGTATGGTGCACAATTTGAGCATGGCTAGTAGCAATGGGCCAGTCCATCCCGCAGCAGTCAACATGCAAGGAATAGAAAAAAGTAATGTTTGTCCAGGTGAGAGCTACAGCATGCTACAGCCATCTGGCTGTGGGTCATGAAGAGCACCCCCAAAACGTGATGAGAATCCTATGGCAAATCTACACAGCTCCCCAAGTTGCATTGGGGGTGCTTACCCACCGCCACATCTCCGACACAGGCGGCCGGACAACAGCAGCGCGGCTTCCCACATCGAGCGGTCGATGCATCGGTAGAATGGGCTGAGCCTTGGGCGGCTGCGCTCGTCACATCAACGCCGAAGAACTGCGCAAGTCAACGAATCGGTCGCATCCCCAAAAGGGATGGGAAGTGGCCAAGCTCCAACAAGCGCCTTCGAATAGTCGTGGCTGACAGCCCCATACTCAGACACTTTGCCGACAACTCTGCATCAAGCTTGGGCAGCGGCGGTGTACCCGGATCCCTCTTAGGACGGCTTTACTTCCCGCTGAAAGCCCGTGATTATCAAAGCCATGGCCAGGCATGCTGCGAAGTGCCCGACATCGTTCAAACAAGCTTGAAAGCACTCATTCCATCACGGATTGAACGCAAGTGCTGCATGTTGGTTTGTCGTGCGGGCGCCAAAAATTTAATATTATATTGTGTTATTGTGTACCTCTCTGAAGTCTCAAGGAGTCATTTAAAAAAAACAAAAAATGCAAAACCGCACTCAGAAATGATGACCAGGAAATGCAAAAAAAGGCATGAAAAAGGCAAGAAAAAGGCAGCTGGTCAAAAAGAGTGCATATAAAAAAGCACAAATTTTGCAAAGGGAAACCCCCCCAAAAAAAAGAACAAAACGCAAAACAACAGTTAAAAAAGCAGAACACGACGTTGTGGAGGCGTCTGTTTTCCCAGTGCTCTAGTCTTCTTACGAATTTACTATCTATGCGGTATTCTTATTTAAGGATACTGTCACATCACGCGCCACATCACAGTAGCAGACATCGCATAGACATCGCAATGTCGCCAGCGTCGCGGACATGGACCGCACAGAGTTTCCCAGAGGGGGGGGGTCGACCAAAAAAAATTGGCGGCCTTGATTTGAGGCAGCACCAATTTTTCTTTTTTTTGGCCGACCCCCCCCCCCCCGGGAA